TGTAAGCATCCTTATTATCTAAGAGAAACCATGGACAGATTGTTTTGTCTTTTAGTTTGTACTAAAAGATAGAATGTGCATGTAAGTATCCATAGTTACACCTCGCAAAAAAAAAACATCCATAGTTACGATATCATGCAACAGTGGCGGAGCTAGAAAATAATCCAATCCAGCATACAGGGTATCTTTGGTGGATGCATGTCCATGGCTAAGATATCATAATTTGTTTGTTTTATTTGTTTGTTTGTGGTAGAAGATAAGATATACATGTAAGATCCTTATTATCTAAGAGAAATCATGGACCGGTTGTTCTGTCCTTTAGTTTGTACTAAAAGATAGGATGTGCATGTAAGCATTCATAGTTACCATATCATGTAGCAGTGGTAGAGCCAAAAAAACAGATTGAAGGGGTGCCAAGTGATGTTAACACATATTGGGGATGGTTTTAACAACAAGTAATCAGTGATCTAATCTAAAAACCTGCATGTTGGCCTGGAACCCAAGCCCCTGCTAGCCACCCCCTGCCTCCACCATTGGGGCTGGGGGGGGGGGACATGAAGGGTTGTGTGTGTGTGGGTAGGGTGAGGAGGAAATGGATTTATTTTCTTCAATATAATCCCTCCTATATTTTTGTTTATTATATTGTTATTGCCATGGTATTATGGTTGTCTCCTTAATTATACTGTTACTCTGAGGATTTTGCTACTTAATTAGCTGATTTTTATACAATTAGGAGAAGTGCTCATAAAGTTAGGTGATAGAAAAAAATGCAAAAGATAATTAAGATATATTGATCACTGCTGCATATATGACACTTTTATTTTGATGAATATTCTGAGAAGTCAGATCAATATCTAGTTTGTCAACAATGTGCTAATTTTTTTGTGGCTATAGTTGAACAACAATCTATATGATAATAAGCTCGACACATCATAGTTCTGTAATTGAAATGTAAGAGTAGGTTGCCTCTGTAATAGAACCTGCAAAAGAGTGCGTCAAGGGTTTGTGTGGTTAACGATTATTTAGGGAACCAATTTTCCTTAAACTCATAACAGACTAAAACTTTGTTTGTTCTCGTATCTAGATTTGGTTCTAGTAAAACCCTAAACCCGAGCTTTCGTTTTGTTATAAATGTTTTTATATTATCCTCAACAACATTGTTACTACTTACAAGGCCCTTAGTTTTCTCTGTGATGCGCACGGGCATAATAGATGAGGGTAGGAAAGTCACACATGGATTTGTAGAAAGCGGTTTAAGACTTTCCGATTCCAAATAAGATTTTTCTGTAATCCTAATCTAACCAAACCATTATAGTAAAATTTATGCTCTGAAAAATCTTCTTAAAAAGAGGTTTGCTAAAAATCGATTGCTAAAGTACAATAGTTTTATCCCTAGTTTCTATCATCGACCTTCATAAGTTAGTCATAAGTAACTGCCTTCGAAGATTGCTACTATGTGGATCTTTTCTTTTGTAGATAATAAAAATAAATGTTTTTGTCCCTCGACTCTCACCCAAGTATAAGTTTGAGAAGAACTCAAATATTAGACATCTATGACCGAAAGTGCCTTTCTGCTCCCGAGCTCATTTGAGCTCGGTGAACAGTAAAATCGAAAAAAAATAAAAAAAATTCAAAAAATTCCAAATTTTTTTTGGGAGAAACATTGACAAAAGTTCTAAATGCTTGCAAAAATTCATCATGAAATCACATTCCTGTAAAGCGTGGCAAAAAAAACAAATTCAGTGCTCCAAAATGCTTTTGAAAGTAGTTTTTTCAGAGTACTGATTTTGTTTTTTTTGCCACGCCTTCTAGAAATGTGATTTCATGGCGAATTTTTGCAAGCATTTAGAACTTTTGTCAATGTTTCTTCCAAAAAAAATTTGGATTTTTTTAAAAAAAATTTGATTTAGTTTTGATTTTACTGTTCACCCGAGCTCATTTGAGCTCGGGTGCAGAAACTCATCTATGACTCCTCAACTCCAACATCAGACATCCTTGGTCCCTCAACTGTCTAAACTATGGATACCTGCTTCAAGCTGTTTTAGAGATGACACGGCGGCATTGCCGCAGACATGCCAACCTTGTTAAAAGTGGAGACAACAGAAAGGGTGCTGGTTGGCTAACGAGATTAGGAATTTTAGTTTTACGCACAGGAAAATACTATTAGACTTGTAATGAAAATAATTCCGTAATATCTTTTTGTACCCGTTGTTCTACGGTAAATTTTAATTCCGTAATATCGAAATATAGAAGTCTTTATTAGCAGAATTAACACTCGGAATTACATATTTGGAGACCACGTTCAAGTCTGGAAACATCATCTCTATTTACGTACGAATGGTGTAGCTCAGAGAGCAACAGCACGCCTTTTTTTCCTTTACGAAAAGGGGAGCTGATAGGACTTTGCGTGGAGACGAGAGGTCCAAGGAGGCAAAGCGCTCTCCATCTCCTTCTAGAACTGAAATTGCGCGAAGACGGAGACGGAGCCCGTGTGGGTGAGGCTGAGGCTGATAATGTAGCCCAATGTACTATGTAACTGAATGATGTAGCTGATGTTGGCGACATGCGCAAGTGATCTGACGAGCCTGCTCCAAGTACAGTACCTTGAGCAGCGATTTTGGCGAGTAGCATGCACCACGTACAGTACGTATCAGGCGCATCAATCGAGCTTCAAATAGATAGATTTGGCTCCTGTCACACCATGGAAGAAGTTTCCGCAGATGTCACCGTCGCCACCAACTCTGTGCTGCCCAACACGGTGGTCGCCGGACCTGACGTGGCCGGCAGCGGCAGGCGTGGTCCGGAGTGAGCCAGGGATTTCAAGGGCCGGCTAACCACCAAGCAATAGCAACTGGCTGATCTATCACCCGTCGGTCCATGAAAAATGTCGTCGGGAATAGATCACTGGCCGGACCATCTCACCTGCATTATGGCCTGCACGGCGTCATTCCGGACAAAATTAAGCACGCATTTTCGTTGGAGGAGCTAGGCAGCAAGCTGTGTGCATCGTGGGCCAGGCGTGCAGGCCGAGTGATCATTCGCCCGATCGGCTTCGTTCGTTCATCGAACGTACGTATCTTTGTTGTGAAGCAGCGTGCAGCTTGATGATGCGCGACGCATGCGAACTCGCCGAGAAGGAAAGAAGGAGGAGAAGGAAGCCGTGGCACCGATGGATTGGCGCTGTGGTTAACTACTCTTTTCTCCTTTGCGCGTTCCTTCCTTGTCGGTCACTCGTCGATCTGATCTGATCTGTCGCCGCTGATGACAGTCGATGTGGTGTTGTGTGCGTGCGTGTCCGAGTCGACGCGCTGCCGTGGGCTTCAAGGCTGCTCTGCCTAAGCTATCTCGCAATGATGCACGTATGCGCGCGCGGCGCGGCGCGTCACCGACGGACCGACCGCGTGCACCCATCATGCTCATGCATCATCATGGGTTTCTCTTTCTCCTG